ACCCCCCGAAAAAGTATTCCCAAATACATCTCTCCCTCATTGCATCCTTTGCATCCTCCTTTTGAAATCTTCAGTTTAACTGTGATCCTTACCAGAGGCTGACCCTTCCCAGTGTCTGCATATTAATTCTTCCATGCAGCCTAGGACTTCACTCCACACATCATCAAACACAAATGCGAGCACAGAATCCTTCATGCAGGAATATGGAGAGATAGGAGGAAACCCCAATTTCCGTCTACCAGAGGACAGTCCCATTTTCCTCTCATGCAACTCCTCCTCCCTGTAAAAATGTAAGCATTACCTGTACCATAAACACATTTTCTTTGTCTCCTATATTTTGTTGCATTTATTTAATAGGACTAAAACATCAGCTAAGGCTGCATTTCTGTTCTATTTTCTGTTAAACTGAAATAGGTCAAGGCAGCTGGCCGAATAGCTTGAAGACATTACTTCAGGAGTTTTGTATTTATCACACAATATTATTTTCTGAGAGCTGATAGTTTAATAAACAGCAATATCAAATAACAGTCTAATACTGAAAGAAGTAAGCTTTTGTACATTGGGCACATGAACTTGTATTTCTTCCAGAATCTACCTCTGACCTAAATGAGAAGTGACTGAGACAATCACCTTATTACCGCACACCTTGGCTTCCCCATGCAGAATGACTATAAATGATACTTCATGAATAAGAAGTAATTTACCAAGGAGATCAAAGTTCCATTTAAAAATAAATATTAATAGTTACAGTGATGTTTGTTCATCACATTGTTAGGATCCATATCTAATGTCACCACAGAATTCTGAAGACAAGAGAGAGGAATGTTGCTACTCATGACCGTTTAATGCCACACTCAGCCTGCTGCTCTAGCAGCCAGGAGGTGTTCAGGGCACAAGCTTAATTCAGTTTTAGACAATTAGATGTAATCAATGAGAGGGGAGAAAAACCATAATTCACAGCAGCAAGTGGCCTTTGCTGCAGACTCTTCCACAATGCAAGAGGTATTCTGAAGTGTGAAACCTGGAAGACAACTGCTCAAAAAAGTCCAAAAGAAACTTCATAGAAGGGAGAAAATAATACTGACGCAAGCACATTTATTATGTTTTCCTATCTGCTCCCTGAATTAATACTTAACATCAAAAAGCTACAACCTTGACAAAAAAGGAGATACCACTAGAAAAAGCTGTAATACTTCTACCATTATTTTACGGAGACAGCAATACTGTTTGCTGCAGCAATGTCTCTCTGGCCTGGTCAAAGCAAGCCACCTACCAATTTGAATCTCGTGGTCCATGCAGCTAAGTGGCTTTATTTATTAAAACCAGTTAAGTAGTTAGCAACTGACAGAACCATCCAGAGTCTCTACCCAGGCCATATGTTCATATTGTTGGGTTGAATAAAATAAAGGGGCAAAAAGAATCCTCTTTATGCCACCCTTAATCCTTTCTTCTTAAGATAAAAATAGTGGTAATTATTTCTTGGCAAGCAGCAAATTCACTCTAATTCTTAAATTACCACTGAAAATCTGGAAAGGTACAATTCCACACAAAACCAAAGCAGCACACTGCTAGTGCATAACAAACAACAATGAATTTGACTTAGTATAAAAAATGAATGGCATTTAAACAAGTTTTATTAAATATGTCAATACATAGCAGGCTCTTAGTTATGATGGAATGAACTATTTAAACCAGGCACAAAAATGGCTAGTATGAAAAATTACAAACAATTCCGAAAAATAATTTAGCAAAATAAATTGTTCTAGGAAATGGATTGGGAGAATTCCCAGTGTCCTAGCAACCTCAGGCTTTTGAAAGTTCTCTAGAGGAAAGATATTAAAAAAAAAAAAAGGTCATCAAATACTTTATCAACTAACATCAAAACGAAATACATATACTTTAACAATAGGAATCCCAGGACACTGGTACTAGTTGCTATCTTAATATTCAATACCTACACATCTCTGCGGTCAAATGCTAAATATTCCTCCATTACGCCTTCAGAGACAATTACTCCGTCTTCACCTTCTTCGCTCTCTGGAGAACACAAGGTCGGAGACTTGGAACGGTCAGCCTTTTTGTGAACGGGAGTAACAGAAAGAGGTACCTTCTTGCCGAGTACACTGAATCTGAACAGGTGACAGTTTTTAGAAAGCAGAAATGAAAATAAATTGTTATTCCACTTCAAATAGCAGCATTTGGTGAGCTGAGAGGCTGAGAGACAACACGGTAGTTAAGGCCAAGCAGTAGGGAGGCCAACAAATTATGCACTACAGTAAAAACTCTTTTGGTTTGGATATTTTTAATTCTTGCTAAGGAACTTGAAACTTCAGAAAAAAAATTCAAAGCTAATTAAAAAACATTCTAAAGCATTAAATAATAAAAGTAGTACTAAGGTAGTGCTTTGTATTTTTGAAGTTCTATACAAATTTAATAGATAATTAACAATAAAACCAGCTACAACACATACATTTCTTAAGCTGCAGCAAAGGTATTTCTATTTACTGACCAGTTTACTGTAGGCATCAACAAGCACAGCTACGTAGCCTTGCTATTCTGAATGTACTACTTTTAGTTAAAAAAAAAAAAAAAGTGTGCTGTGTTCAAAACTCAGCCTAAAAGAAAGGAATCAGGCTTCACATTTTAAGAAGCCTATCACTGCAGTCCACTGAGAACGAAATTACCTTCCCACCTCGGTATGGTCTGGGTTAACCGCTGGTACTTACTCATTAGAATCTTTTTCTTGTGGTGAACTTACATCTGAGGAACCTAAACTGCCAGAAGGTGAACTTGAATACCATCCATACCCTTCATCTGTGGGGATCACTATCTGCTTCCCCACAACCCTGCCGTGGCAAAAGCAAAGGATAAATAAATCAGAAAACGTTGAAAGTAAGATTATTGAAGTGTGTAAGAACACACAGCAGCAAATCCTAAAAATTCTATTGGGAAGCTATGCAGTTTTCTTGGTGATTGTTAAGTGTGGTTTCAGTTGTTCTCCCTAGTATGGATTGCTTCGAGGTAGGTAAATAAATTAAGAAAATTTTTCTTGTATTTTTATGCTTTGCTAATTGTAAGACTTTTGAATATGGACAAAACTGCTCAAGTACATGTAATGAAGATTTAAAATTTCAATTTCCAGATAGCCATAAGGACTGCTGAACTAGGGTAGGAGGATTTTAAAATTATTTTAAGCACCTGGCTTTCAGCTATACCACACATCTTTTCTAAAACAATTTTGCTATGTTAAAGCCAAGTCAGTTGCAAATAGCAATAATCCTCTGGCAAGGAACCTAACGTGAGGTAGCAGAATGTTTATTAATGACAATGGCAGGCAGTCTACCAGAGTGATCTTTTTATCTCTATCTGCTATATAATTGCATAAAACCACCCTGCTACTAACGTTGTTTGAAAAACAACTGTTTCCATCCCTACCCTTTTATAACTCTGTGATGGTACTATCATTAGTCTATTAATAAAATACCTGAGATGAGGAAAGTTGGATGTCCACTGGTGGCATTCTTCCCGCAGTCCCTCAACATGCACATTTTCTTTCTGCTCATAGAGAAGCTCATCAATTTGCCTGAACATTTGCTGAACTTGTTGTGTGGCAGCTTTATCAAATTCCTAGATAGGAAAGTTATCCAATAAATACCTAGTGAATAGCATTCAGAGAGGTTTTTTAATTTAATTTTTTTGTTATTGAAAAAGACAACTACTTGTTTAAAGCTTAGCGGGACTGATTTAAACAGTTCTATTTCTTTTGCATAGGAAGACATTAACTTTAAATATTTCCCCCCCGGAGATTATGCAGACTGCTGTTAGGACTGATGGTAGCTACATAAAAAGCTTACACTGACGCAATAGAAAAACTATTAAAACGTTTTGAAATATCTGTATTCTTATATGAAGTTAAAGACATAGTAATTCACCTAAAATAAATCAGAACAGGAAGGATAACATTCAGCGACATTTTAATGAAATGGAAGACCTGTTGCTTGTAATGTCCATAGACAACAGCAAAACAAAAAGCAATGCAGGCTGGTGTGAAACACTGCAAAAGGATGTTCAGGACCTCTGTCACATGTTCTTGTGTAGCTAGAAAATGGGGTTGGTTCTTGGCTGATTTAAATCTAAACAGTTCCATCTCACCTCACAGAAAGCAGTAGCACGCTTTGTTTTGGTAGATGGGGAATAAAACGAATATTTCTAAATGAAAATAATGTTTTAGGGGCTTACTATATTTTGAGAAACATGCAAGTATGCAGAGGTTCGATAAACTCACACCAAGTGTCTGAAAGTCATTCACTCACGTTTGGGATTCCACAATAACAGCATTTATTATTTATTGTACTGATACACTTATGCATTAAATGATTTGCATTTCCACAGTTTTAGATGGAAATGCAGAATACTAGTTGAATAATATGAGCCCAATATGTTTTGATCTGAGAGAAGGGAAAGATGGGGAAGAGGTAAAAAAGATGTTCTTTTTATAACCACTATCATGATTTATTGACATCCAATCCTCATTTTTATCCTGAAATGTATTTGCAATGGTATTTCACGTGTCTTTCTAGTCACTGTGCTACATTTGGTTTGGGTGACTATGTTCTACTCACATCATAGCCCCAAGAGAAGACTGAGCTGTCTTCGGTGGAGGTGTCGGCGTAACTCTGACTAGCAGACCATGAACTCCCGTGATCAGCTGGAGTAACAGAAGGGTAATCCGATTCCTTCCAGATTTCAGACTCCCTGAAATGCACGTTGAGGACAAAAAGGAAGGGGAAAAACCCAACAATACACAATGACAAATCAAGTGGGTAAGTAAACTTTTCTTTCTGTACAAAAAAGCATAGATATATCAGAAGAGGTCTTAGCAATGATAGTTTTCATAGGGTAAATACTTATTTCAGAGGCATTTAAGCAGAAGCCATAGTACACAAGTAATTATAACAACTATAACTGCTAATGGTCTCAATGACATCGGAAGTCTAGAGGTCAAGCAAAACATAGATTTTCCAAAAATTATCTTAGTTAAACTGCAGACTATTTCTAGTCCCGGTTCTACACCACTCAGGAATTATTTTTATCTTTTCTCCTTTTGTTTCTGTCATAAAATTAGATGACCCAGGCTATTTGCGAGCTGGGAACAGAACACAGCTACATGCTTTTTATTATTTCCAAAATAGGAAGGACATGTTCTGAAATGATACAGATCTGAGGTAACGCCTAAGCCTACCCGCTGTACTGCTTCTGTAAAGGTAACTCAACACAACGGTCCCTGGTTTTGCCATCGTCTTCAGACAAAGATTCATTTTATGTTATGACAAGTACCTTGAGATCTCGCCGTAGTTTTCAGCCGTGGGTGTGGCTGGGCACACCTCCGCTCCTGGTTCTGGCAGCGGATGATGCCGCAAGGCATGTTTTGGAAGTCCTTGTCTAAAACAAGAAGTAGAATTTGATACTACTTATAAGGATAAACATCTACAGAGTTCCCAAGCTTTACGGGGTTTTTTTTCTGCTTTTCAAGGAATGCACTGATTTGCATACCAGAGCTCATTTATTATTATTATTAGGCTAATTCTTGTTACCAAAGCGTTAGAATTAAGGCATCAAAACTAACTCTAGGCTAAACACAGAGTTAAAGGTATTTGCTTAGAAATCAGTGTCTTCCTTTGAACTTAAAATGCTGTTGCGAATTGGTCTACAGCTCTCTAAAAGCAAATACAATGTCATTATCCCTGTAGGAGACTTACAATCAAACAGAACAAGAGTAGCCACCAAACCACACGCAAGTTAGGAGAAATAGTATTTGCTAGTTTTTTTATCAAAGTTTCGATGTCTAGGAAAAAGGGACAAGAAAAGCCACAGCACTTGGAGACAGAGAGGGGCATCGCTGCAGGAACAAAAAGCAGCTGGCTACCAAAACCTGCGTATTTGTTCAAACCTCTCGCCCCCCCGAAAAAGCGCCTACGCATCAGTCACCTCTTCACAAAAAAGACAAGAAGAGGGATGTAATCACGTTCTCTCACACCTGTGATTTTCAAGCGACGAGCACACTCCTCGGCCACGACCGCTGC